CAATAGGTATGTGGTACAGTACGAATTACATTATCCCTAGATGTCCAATGTACGTGTGATTTTTTTTTTTTTTTTTTAATACCCTACATGAATTCACCAGACACAGACCACTAATCGTTGCTTTGATTTTTAATCCGTGCGATAGTTAAACCCAGGCTAGACCTAGTTCTCACAAGAAACACCGATAATATAATAATAGCTCTAGCACAGTTAAAACACACATACTTCTACCTCTCAGAAACAAACCCACTCGTATTCAACCGACAGCGCAAAAAATCTTAAAACCAGCAACTACTAGCCAGTGGTTGTAGTTGCTAAATGAAAAGGTGGCCGGAAACGGCGATCAAAGTTACTTTTTAGAGTTGTGCAGTTAGCAATTTGTTAATACAACCCGGTATAATCTGAGTAATGCTGAGTGTAAATAACCTTGGAACCTTAGCTTTCGATCATTTATTTTTTTAAAAATGCTTACCCGAACGGCGTTCCGCTTACAAAAAAGTGCCGGAACGTCGTTCCCGCCCCGCTCCGGCCCCCCTACACTCACTGCTACTAGCTCACAAAATCCTCGAATATCTCCACCAAAAACCCCAAAGCCAACCTCACAAATACACCTCAAGAAACCAAAGAAAACACCATAAATACAAGTAAGCAACATGTACTACAAAGACAGGTCCATCCCAATAAAGTTACACGCCCTAGCCAACTTAAAAAACAGACAATACTCCTTCTTCTCTGAAACAACCCACTCGTATACAACGAGCTCAAAAACCTTAAACAGCATCAACAGGCTACAAAATACTGCAATATCTCCACCAAAAACCCAAGCACCTCACAAGATACGACCTCAGAACAAAGAGTACACCAATAATACAAATACAAAAACTACAAAACTCCTTCTTCACAGAAACACACTACGTTTATCACAACCCACTCGTATCACCCAAACGCAAAGCCAGAAAACATACACAAATAAACTCCATTTAATAAAATTACAGGAATTATTATAATGATTTTTTTTGTTTTGTTTTGTTTTGTTTTTTGTTTTCCTCTTTCCTGATTCAGCGTTTGGCTATGTCCCATCATACCTATATTGGTAAGTACGAATTACACACTAGTCCCTAGATGTATGTCCAATGTACGTGTGTGATTTTTTTTTTTTTTTTTTTTTAATGACCCTACATAACTTTACCAGACACAGACACTAATCGTTACTTGATTTTAATCCGTGCGATTAGTTAACCAGGCTAGACCTGAGTTCTCACAAGAAACACCGACCATAATAATAATATGTTTATTGCCTGTGATCAATATACATTGACATAGACATAGTCACTAACATTAACAAAAACACATTTAAAAAAACACATTAAAAAACACATTAAAAATTTTTCGTATCACAGTTGGTCAATATAAATCACAGTATATGCAAATCGCTCGTTTTATAAAAACAATTGTGCACTAAAAAACTTTTTATGGGGGTATGCCAGAGCATAGTATATTGTGAGTAGAGCGTTTTGATCTAAACTCGATTTTAAGTTTAACAGCACATAAAAAGTCTTGTTAAGTTTTTTACAAACATGGTCTATTTTTTGGCGCCACGATAACTCATCGTCAATAAAAATACCCAAAAACTTTGCACTACAGTTAAGTCTTATATTGGTTTCATTTGATGGCCTCATCTTCCCAAACTCGGGACATACGGTCTTTTCAACATTTAAAACAAGTTTATTTACACAACACCAGTTTTTAAATTCCTTCATGGCAAGATTGGTTAAAGTAAGTAAATCATTTGAGGTATCGGCCGAGACCACAATTGTAGTATCATCAGCGAAACCTACCAATTTACCAATTTTTGCGAACTTTGGAAGGTCAGCACAGTATAACAAAAATAGCAGAGGACCAAGCACTGATCCTTGAGGAACACCCAAAGATACTTCAAACGTCCAGATGTTTGCCTGCTTTGTTTATATATTAATGTTCATCAACTAAATTTTCGGGCTTTCACAATCTTAATAATTACGATCATTATTAAACAAACTTTTCACAATTTGAGTGTTTTATTTTACGTTCCTTTCCTACTGTGCTTCAGGTCAAAGCGTGTCTACAACTAACGTAAGGGGGCCCTGCCCTAGATGTTTTATCACTTGCCACTTTTCAAATTTAAGCGGGATCTTGTTTAGTTTTGGAGGGAATAGTCATTCGGGTGGCCATTTTTAGCGTTGCCGGGCTGACTTTATTTTCGTGTTCTTGTAGTGTGAAGTTAGCGTAGAACCTGAGGGTTAAGTACACTACAACCGTATTCGTGGAATACGAAATTGTCAGGAATGGTCCGCAGTATGTAAATATTTCCTTACTAGATTTATACGGCTTCAGTTTTCCTGATGTCAAGGTGAGTCATTGTTGATAATGGATTCATTACTGCAGAGATAAAAGTGCAGCTTGGCCCACGTAATGCACGCTTAGAATATTGTATTTCGTGCGAATATAACTTTTCGATTTAAGACGTTGCATTCGAACCAGACGAAAAGGATAACAGATGTGATCAACGCATGCGAACATATGATTGATATGTGGACTGAAGTAACAGAAATTTTTACCGAAGCGCCTCTTTCGGTTAGAATCTCTGGGCTAGTTTCCCCATTCCCTTGTTGTTGAAGTTCGCTCTCTAACTCTCCATACAGTTTTTCATTGCGGTTGCCATTTTCAAACGTTGTCGGGTTGATTTTATTTCCGTGTTTCTGTAATGTGAACTTAGCGTAGAACTTTTGGGTTAAGTATACTACAACCTTATTTTACAAAGCAACCTAACTGCCAAAAGATACTTAATATTAAAACCTAACTTCCTCTAACACTCATTAAAATTCGCACTTACACCAATATGTGCTATGGCACGCAGTATCATGGAAAGAGTCCACCTCTGATACTGAAACAAAAAACTGTGCTGAACAGACTGACCGTTGTTTAATAGCCTACTACGACACGCAGTGCCCTCTGCGGTAGGGATATTCAACTTCCCGCTACTACACGGGGAACCTATTTACATAATAGAAGGACGAACGAAAAAGAGATTTGAATCCTAACGGGATGTACCGTTACACTTTTTAAACATGAATGTTTACTTTGCGCTTTGAGAAATTAGCAACTAATTTAATTTGTTACACATTTCGCAAACGTGCAAGATACCAAAATCCCGCTATGCCCAACGACACTTCGTGAAACACTGCCATGATGATAGCACTCTTTTGGCCCGCCCTATGGCGATGGGTACGAACCTCTCAGTTATTTTGTTTCGTTGTGTAAACTCGAGTTGATTGATGGTTTAGTTCTCCTTTGCAGGTTATGGCGTCGAGGCGCAACCCGCAACAATTTGCCCCAACGTGTGGACGTTCACGTTGTACACGACCGCGTATCCGAACGGAACGACCGACATTAGCGAAGCGGCTGCCTCTAATCAGACAGTAATAATCGTACACGGCTGGGAGCAGTGCGCGACCCAATCTTGGATTCTTAGGGCTAAAGACGCGCACCTCGCCGTCGAGGAGCGGAACGTCATCGCGTTGGACTGGTCGAAGGAGGCGATGAACGCCTGGTACCCGAGCTCGGCGCAGGCCGTACCGGCGGTCGGAATTTTTCTGGGCGAAGCCATCTACGAGTGGGTGCGGAACGGAACGATTACCTTAGCGACTACGAGGTTGGTTGGTTTTTCGTTGGGGGCGCATGTATGCGCATTTGCCGGGCAGGTGTACCAAAACAAGACGGGGGGAGAAAATCTGACGAACATTATCGCGCTGGATCCGGCCAAGGAGCTGTTTGAATCCAAACCGGTCGACGAGCGTCTGGACGCGGGCGACGCCACAATGGTCCAAGTGTTCCATACGAGTACCTATGGGATGTCGATTAGGTGCGGTGTTGTCGATGTCTACTTCAGCGCGGCTTTTTTAGTCGTACTTAAAACGTGTGGCAACGATCAGCTCAGTTGCCCTTACACGCCCGGTGTGCCCATTGACAATCTCTTACTCGCCGCGTGTAAGTTTCGGGCGAGTATAAAAATAACGATCTTTTGTAGTTTTTTGCAGCCACATACGGTCGGTTGAGATCTATATTGAAAGCATCACGTCGTTAAATTTTATAACGGTCAAGTGCACTTGTGACGAGTTCAAAAATGGCGCATGTGACAATTCATCGAGAATTGTTGTAGGAGATCTGCTCCCAATTACAACAGCCGAAGGAGAATATTACTTAACAACCAACTCTACGCCACCATTCGCTAAAGGAACCGATGGGTTGTACTTTTAGACAGTCATTTGTTTTTATTGTAACTCCTTTAATCAATTAGTCACAATTATATTTGTTAATCAAAGCAATACAAGACTGCTTGAATAACCCATACGGCACTTTGTTGAACTGACGGCAAAATATTAACTAATATTTTTATGTACTACAGTACGATAGGAAAACTTCCAACGTAATTTCTTGGTTCAATAGCGTCACGTTATCCCTCGAGAGTCATAGTTACTCCTGCCCGTCTGCTTAATTTGCGATAAACTTTCGCCGGAAGCTCGCACACCAACCTTTACGCCGAAAATAGACGGTATAATTACAAAAATATAATTTAATGAAGGTAAGATCCAGCGGTAATTTACTAATCTAAACCTGTAAACGGTGACGGAGGCGGCACATCGACAAGAAACGGCGGAACGGAAGTGATTCGAGCGCCCCTATGTGTTTCGGTCTCTCTTACTTCCGGACAAGACGCGGTCGGCGGCGCTCGGGGTAACTCCAATGGAGAACGCCGGTCCTAGGTCTTCTAAAGGGCGGCTACTGATGAATGCTAAAACAAACTTAAATCGTACAGCAATTTCCCTAAGCGGAGACGGTAAATAATCGGATTTGGTAGCGGTTTCTACGGGAAAGCAATTGCAGGAAAGCAAGACAATATCTCTCCCCCCCCTTATAATTAATGAAACGGATTATAGCAAAAAGCTTACTTTGCAATTAAACGTGCGTTTCTCCGAAATGAAAAAGCAGATTTAAATACGGCGTGTTAGAATTAATTTCAAACAAATCAAAATTGAGAAAATTTACGGAAAAGCTAGATAACTTAACGTATTTATAACAAGCAAAAGTGGCCCTTGTAAAATAAGCGTTTACCTTATATAAAGGTAGGGTATACAACGGGGGAACGACGGTTTTTCCAACCGGCACAGCATATTTCGTTACCTGCATGTAAAAATTACAACATTACAATTAATTACGTCCTTCCCAGACGTCTTAAAAATACGGGATCGGTGTCAAAATTTAAGTTTTTTAAGGGCGCACCTAGGGATTTAATTTAGACTTAATCGGAAGCTGTTATTGTATCCCATTCAACTAATTAAGGTTAATTATACTTATCCAAATAGTCGGAATGAAATCTCCAAATTTGGCAGACACTCTTTGGTTCCTTGGAATGTGAGATCAAACGTTTTAATGCCGGATTTCGTATACGAATAGGAAACTAAAATCGATTAATGGGTAATAAACGAAACTAAAATAAGTATTTTCGGTGCCCAACTTAAAGCGCCTCTTGAAACCGGCTCTCCATCTACAGAGTGATCATTAAAACTGGTAATTTCAACACGGAAAACAGATGCTTCGTTACAATATTCAGCCTCTTCTGCTGGTACCTGCGATACTCAGAGCTTAAATAAGTCCTTGTTCTTTTAAATCTCACTAATCCCTCCTTAGTTTCTTCGTAATTTTGAACGCCGACAATGGACTAACTTTCAAAATGGCGATGTCGAATTTTTCATTGGTTACTACTCTTTTTCTACCAATCCTAGATGATTTTAAAAGTCGTTAATTAATTCTGTCTCTTTTGCTCAGGAAGCTGCAAGCTTATCTCATAATGAGCTCAGGTTATGTCCCTAATAGAAAGACTGTCAGCTGAGCTCTCAGGATTAGAGGCAATAAAAAAATCATTGATGAATCACGCGCAAAAAATACCCACGAATTCGTGATACTACAGTCGACCAGCTAAATTCTTCATATTATAACCAAAATTTGTTTGGGAAGACACTCTAGAACCTTGACATTTGTTCTAGTTTACTCATTTTTGCCGGAAAAATCGAAAAAAATCAAATCCAACCTAATAGGCCCCGTTATATAGTAGTCCAAAAACAAACTGTATGATTGGTTAACCATGGATATTAAACAATGTATCAATGCCTTTTCGTTTTCTCATCATTCTTGTGGCACGTTTTAAGAGCCACTAAGAATTGCAATGAAGGTATAATTGCAATAGTTTGAAGAATAAGTCTGGTTTCTGACGATTTACATGATTTTCGTGTAATCTCGACTTAGTTTTGGATCGGGATGCAGTTTTCTCTCATTTTGGAGGCTATAAATTGACATACGTAAGTGGCCGCCATTTGCTAAATCAATTGTTATCTCTCGCGTTCTTTTTAGGATATTCGCTTTATATTGCTGTTTTCTAAATCACTCTCTTATTAATTAGAGGTACATTAGGTTTGTGTTAGAAAGGGAACTTGAAGGTAATTCTTTTTAGAGTTCACGAATGTGGATTTTTAATTTCATAATATTTTATGGGCTAATTATAAGTTTAAGCAGTGACAATGTTATCAACCAGGTCTTCTTCCCAGGTCCTACCTTCACAGATAAGTGGAGATCGAACGGGTCTTGGTCAGATCAACAAATTACAGGGAGAGCTGTGTGATGATCTTAGCCTCCTACTATCTTGGTGGCTGACGCCAACTTCAAGTCACACTGGAATATTGGACCATATTCTGTAGTAGCGGGAATGCCAAACTAACATGGCTACCTATTTGAATATTCTCGCTTACATTTCCCGCGAGAATCTGTCACTCTGGGGCCACTCCGAGTGCACTAAGATCGTGATCGTCATGTAGGACACCTACGTTGTGTAATTACTGGGTTCTCAGCAGGCACTGAGGGCGTTTAATGGGTAAGGAACACCAAAAGTAATAGTTGATTAAGTTTATATTGCAGCTAATACCAAAACGGTGCCCCTGCAGAGGGTCTTAAGTGGTTCTATACTACTCCGGCATTTACCTTACGAATTAGGAAAACTGCAGGAAAACCTAATTCGGAGTAGTCCTATAATGAACAACATCCAATGTACAGCACCTTTGAGCCCTCTCGAAACCGGGGTAACTACTACAAACACGCTATGAGTAACCAAAATGGGATCGAGCCATTCCCCAGGTACCACACATACATCGGACAAAACTAAGAGATGTCAAATATACCTCGCCGGGCAGGAGGAATACCCAGGCCCAGTGGAGTGCCTGTAGACGTGGGCTAAAGTTGTTGGGTTCGGAACGAGTGAAAATGTTAGTGTTAGGTTCACCAAGGCCGTATAAACTTGAATAGCTCGATCCCCTCTAAACAAGCACACTTCCCTCTTGATTACTCACAGTCCCAAATAAGCAAATATAATGAAATGCAATGGAATAATCGAGAGTGACTAAAAGGCACAATACACAAATTAAACAGCAAGTATGTAAAGCACAGATACAGCCCTACCGACAATGAAACATGATTGCCAATACCAACAAAGGTTACACATTAAAGGTACAAGTGATTGAATTCAGTAAGTACATAAGTAAAGGGTTACAATCTACATTCAAGTGACACACATTTATAGATTAATTGAATAAAGCAAATACCTCACCTGATATAACAAAGCAAAAGCACACAGCAATGATTAAGGTATAACAAAATATTTCAAGACAAGCCGTACTTTACACTTCAGCCGGTTACAAGACAAAGACCATGAACACACATGTTAAATCCTATTTATTTGACCAACCCAAGCCACGCGGTAATTTGATCTGCTAATACCCCTAAACCACCCCAAAATCGCCCATTCCCTGCATTTCCCGCATTTCTAAGAAAAAAGTGGACTGCAGGTGTTGAAATTGTAAACACATGTCGTCTTCCAAGAAATTCCATCCGTCTCATCTTCGCTCTCTTTCCCTTTTCTGTAATCCCACCAGATTTCTGTTGGCAGCTTGTGTAACCTACATGATGTATAGAGTGCTTCGTATCGACAATCATATTCACAGGACGTTGTTAAGGTTGGGGCATCTCAGCTGTCCTGTGAAGCTTTTATTAAAAATTAAAAATGATAAGAACGGGGAGTGGAAATGATATTACGAGTAATGCTTTGATATTGTTAGATGGTGACATCTAGCGATTGCAAAGAATTTTAAGGCAGCGTTCACGCGCTCTATAAATAAAATAACATCCACATTGTTACACGCCTACTTTCTTAATTTTCACAAATACGCCTACTAAATAGTGTTTGTTCATCTACAATTAATTTAGATAGGTAGAGAACGCAAACATATACAGCGAAGAATCGGAACTGTATGATGTACTTCCTCCGCGAAACATACAGGGCAACATCGCACTGATAAGACTGTGACTGAACACTGAAGGATCATCCCATACAGGAACGCATCCGCGCCGCCTACGTGGACCCAGTAGTGGCACAATGCTATTCATCATGGTAGATGAAATTAACAAGTGGCTTGAGTGCGAGTACCAGAAACGATTGCTCACGGTGGTCCAGTTGCCGATGGTTGATCGTCAAGGCGTTGTCAGTGGCGTTTCCAAAGTAGATCACCGTAAACCTACTTACAAAACGCGTGCTACGCCACTGCTACAAATCCTAACCCCAAAATCTATCAGCCAGCTGATATGTAAGTAAAGGAGTAAATTTCCGTCAGCAACGAGTTGTGTTCTCTTCCATAAATGTTTTTTTTATGGTTCTCTTCCTTTGCCGTTGTGGGTGTAGTGGCATCATAATGTCGGCAGTCGTTAAAGTGGAACTTAAACAAGAAGAAGAAATAAACGCATTCATTGACGAAAAGGTCTGTTTTACCAATGACGTTTGCGCAACGATTAAACAGGAGATGAATGAAACTACTAGTCCCACTGATCACTCCCATTTGTATACCAGAAATGATGTGAACCCAGAAACTGAACGTAAAGGAGTCATCTTGCTGAAATCTTCAGTAGATTTCCCATACTTTAAGCAACCGCAAGACTCGAAACTATTTAAATGTGG